TGGAATGTTAGCATTATAGACAGTAGAGGCGTGATTGTGGAATGTTAGCATTATAGACAGTAGAGGCGTGATTGTGGAATGTTAGCATTATAGACAGTAGAGGCGTGATTGTGGAATGTTAGCATTATAGACAGTAGAGGCGTGATTGTGGAATGTTAGCATTATAGACAGTAGAGGCGTGATTGTGGAATGTTAGCATTATAGACAGTAGAGGCGTGATTGTGGAATGTTAGCATTATAGACAGTAGAGGCGTGATTGTGGAATGTTAGCATTATAGACAGTAGAGGCGTGATTGTGGAATGTTAGCATTATAGACAGTAGAGGCGTGATTGTGGAATGTTAGCATTATAGACAGTAGAGGCGTGATTGTGGAATGTTAGCATTATAGACAGTAGAGGCGTGATTGTGGAATGTTAGCATTATAGACAGTAGAGGCGTGATTGTGGAATGTTAGCATTATAGACAGTAGAGGCGTGATTGTGGAATGTTAGCATTATAGACAGTAGAGGCGTGATTGTGGAATGTTAGCATTATAGACAGTAGAGGCGTGATTGTGGAATGTTAGCATTATAGACAGTAGAGGCGTGATTGTGGAATGTTAGCATTATAGACAGTAGAGGCGTGATTGTGGAATGTTAGCATTATAGACAGTAGAGGCGTGATTGTGGAATGTTAGCATTATAGACAGTAGAGGCGTGATTGTGGAATGTTAGCATTATAGACAGTAGAGGCGTGATTGTGGAATGTTAGCATGCTCACATATTGAGTAGCGTTCTGCTATGGTGAAGGTACTAGTAAGCCCATCATCTGTCAAATTGAGTGAAAACATGTCTTAATCATTCAGTGATCATAATTGAATCAAAATGTTTGTAAAAAAGGGGGGGGGGGGGGGCTAACTTCTGATAATCACATAATTATATCATTTGTTCACGTACATGCTATATCTGTGACCTGATAGGCTAGTACAATGTGATTTGTCATTATAACTGTCTGACAGGCGACTTTTGTAAAACAGTTGGGAACCTTGGTCAGGACACTAGAACACACTAATATTATTGACCTGATGGGTCAATTTCATTACCACTAGCTATATAGTGATACATGTGATTGTGATTTGACTGTCATGTCAAAAGAAAAGCTTAATCTCTCTATAGTTAAAATACCTTGGATGTCATCTGTGTGGTTGTTTGCTTGTTTACCAGCACTGAGGTCAGCATCATGGGAGGACAGAATGTGACCTGCAGGGAAAAAAGTAAATTGAATTTAAGGTAAAGAGTACCACTGCATCAGTTAAAATCATGAAGGAGAGTTCCATACTTTGTTAAATACTTGTCAATGTTTGAGAGTAGTATAGCTGAAGATTTTTTTCAGTGATAATTGATGAATTAATATAGAGTTTGAGTAATGCTAAGACAAGCTTGGAACCATTCTCCTAAAAATGAAAAATTCAAAACTTATATGCCTTTAAAAAGACATGCTTTTGGAAAATGTCAATAAGTGCTGCTCCAAGGCTCTCAAGCGGGTTTATTTGGGGAAATGCTCATTTCAGTTATATTTTAATTTCAATTTACCATTTTAAATCAGACTGATAAAACTAAAAAAAAAAGTTTAATTCATTTATCCAATTAATGATAAAAATTATGCAAGATATTCTTATAATACAAGTGATACACCTGTATATCTTTATCTCATAGTGTCATATTGAAAATGAATGTGAAAAATTAGTAAAAATTGTTCTTTTTTATTGCTGTTTTGGTTGTTTATGGTTACTATGAAATTTGTTGACATTCTGAGCTGCACAACTTAAGGCTTGTGATACATTGAGGAGGGTTTTTAACACAAGGAAATTAGATGTGGACCAGTTTCATGTCTGTTAATTCTGTTACCTGATTTTCCATGCTTTGACTTCTTTGGAAGCATGTCACAGATTTGCTGGGGACCATATATTTGACCTTCTCCCCAGGTATAGTCCAGGAACAGGGCAGTGACGTTTGTTTGTTTGTTTGTTTGTTTGTTTATGTTTAACGGCCCATCGACGGCTGTGGTCATTTAGGGCCATGGTGATTTTTTTTTTTTTTTTTTTTTAACAAACATGTGACGTGCATGCAGCATTGGAAATGCCCATCTGGTTGGCTCTATACGAAAGAGCATTCAGCGACATGGTTGCATGTCTGTCCAAGTCTGAAATTACAAAATCATAAAATTTGTATGTTGTCCTTGATATTATTTACTGGTATGTGACCAGTGTATGTGACCCAGAATGACCAGTTACAGAGACAGAAATCAATATACATATGTGCTTCAATGGGTTTGAAATATTTAATTAAATTAAGTGCATTCATTGTGTGGAGGAGTTATAATTTAAGTTCTGTAAAAACATCAAGTCAATATCTAGGCTTAACAGCATTAGTATGATTAATTATATCAAATAGTTGAATAATTACCCAGCTGTGCAAGAGCAGTAGGCACACATGATGCATCCTGATAGCTTTTCCACACACGCCCATACTCCATGGTCTGTGTCCGATACTCTTTGTGATGGGCAACATTGAGACCTAAACAGGCAGTACTTGCTTTATTTGTTGTCGATATTAAATGAAAATGTACCTCTTTCATCCAATTACTTGTGAACTATTCATAGGCTTTTCCAGTTTTGTATGAGTTTAACTACTCCTCAGCATTTGGATCTTTTGCTGTCACCACAAAAAACTTAGTTATGTCACTCAGATATATGGGCGGCCATTGGCATAAACCCTGTTTCTCTCCGAACCATCCTTCACACAACTTAAAAGGATCTGGAATTATTTCCGTACCAATCAATAATAAGTCTTTGTACTTACGTGTGTTTACTGCAACTACCTCCTTGCATGTCAACTTTATTGGAATTTTCATTTTATTTGCAGCAAAGAACAGCTAGTTCATGTTTGGTACCTTCCTTACTTAATGCTCTTTTTTCCAGAAAAAATTTGAGAGCATCAACTCTCCACATAGAAAATAAATCTAGAGTCATATCACCGGGATCATCAATCAACTATTTTTTAAGCATATTAGGGGTATTTTTTTTGTATTACTATTAATATTCATAATTGACAGAACTTCAGGCTCCTATGGTTTTGGATACTCGCACCGGTCTAAGCACTGGACATCTTTACGCATGCGCCAATATAAAATCATTCGGAATACAATATTCAAAGAAAATAAGAGGAGTAACGAATGCCTCATGCAGACAAGCCATAATCCTTAGGCCTATTCCCTACTGCATTTTAACGCCGGTAAGCCATTAATTTGTTTCATTATGTTCATTTTATATGAGTCTTGATGGACATTCCAATGTGTATTTTAGGTACGACCCCCTATTGAATGATCAAGTACGGCATATATAAACAGTACAACACTAGCACTGGCATAAGATAGACAGTAAAATACTAACACCGGGCATGTATAGAAATACAACACTAACACCGGGCATGTATAGAAGTACAACACTAACACCGGGCATGTAAAGAAGTACAATACAAGCACCAGGAATATATACAGAATAGAACACTGGCGCCTTTTCATATTAAGACAATACAGTACAACATTAGCACCAAGCATATACATATATAGACAGTAAAACCCTAGCACCAGACATATATAGACAGTAAAACCTTAGCACCGGACATATACGTAGACAGTAAAACCCTAGCACCGGACTTATTTAGACAGTAACGCCCAAGCCCCGGACATACACGTAGACAGTAAAACCCTAGCACCGGACTTATTTAGACAGTAACGCCCAAGCCCCGGACATACACGTAGACAGTAAAACCCTAGCACCGGACTTATTTAGACAGTAACGCCCAAGCCCCGGACATACACGTAGACAGTAAAACCCTAGCACCTGACATACACGTAGACAGTAAAACCCTAGCACCGGACATGTATAGACAGTAAAACCCTAGCACCGGACATATATAGACAGTAAAACCTTAGCACCGGACAGTAAAACACTGGTACCGGACATATACGTAGACAGTAAAACCCTAGCACCGGACTTATTTAGACAGTAAAACCCTAGCACCGGACATACACGTAGACAGTAAAACCCTAGCACCGGACATATATAGACAGTAAAACCCTAGCACCGGACATATATAGACAGTTAAACACTCGCACTGGACATATATAGACAGTAAAAACCTAGCACCGTACATATATAGACAGTAAAACCCTAGCACCGCACATATATAGACAGTAAAACCCTAGCCCCGGACATATATAGACAGTAAAACCCTAGCACCGAACATATATAGACAGTAAAACCCTAGCACCGTACATATATAGACAGTAAAACCCTAGGACCGCACATATATAGACAGTAAAACCCTAGCTCCGGACACATACGTAGACAGTAAAACCCTAGCACCGGACTTATTTAGACAGTAAAACCCTAGCACCGGACATATATAGACAGTAAAGCCCTAGCACCGGACATATATAGACAGTAAAACCCTAGCACCAGACATATACAGACAGTAATACCCTAGCACCGGACATATATAGACAGTAAAACCCTAGCACCGGAAATATATAGACAGTAATACCCTAGCACCGGACATATATAGACAGTAAAACCCTAGCACCGGACATATACGTAGACAGTAAAACCCTAGCACCGCACATATATCTAAGTTCCATGTTGTGTGACATTTATAACATACAAATCTGTGTTCCATGTTGTGTGACATTTATAACATACAAATCTTTGTTCAATGTTGTGTGACAATTATAACATACAAATCTTTCTTCCATGTTGTATGACATTTATAACATACAAATCTTTGTTCCATGCTGTGTGACCTTTTTAACATACAAATCTTTGTTCCATGTTGTGATATTTATAACATACACATCTTTGTTCCATGTTGTGTGACATTTATAACATACAAATCTTTGTTTAATGTTGTTTGACATTTACAACACACAAATCTTTGGTCCATGTTGTGTGACATTTATAACATACATATCTTTTTCCATGTTGTGTGACATTTATAACATACAAATCTTTCTTCCATGTTGTGTGACATTTATAACATACAAATCTGTGTTCAATGTTGTGTGACATATATACCAACATATCTTTGTTCCAGGTTGTGTGACATTTATAACATACATATCTTTGTTCCATCTTGTGTGACATTTATAACATACAAATCTTTGTTCCATGTTGTGTGACATTTATAACATACAAATCTTTCTTCCATGTTGTGTGACATTTATAACATACAAGTCTGTGTTCAATGTTGTGTGACATATATACCAACATATCATTGTTCCAGGTTGTGTGACATTTATAACATACATATCTTTGTTCCGTGTTGTGTGACATTTATAACATACATATCTTTGTTCCGTGTTGTGTGACATTTATAACATACAAATCTTTGGTCCATGTTGTGTGACATTTATAACACACAAATCTTTGGTCCATGTTGTGTGACATTTATAACATAGAAATATTTGTTGTGTGACATTTATAACATACAAATCTTTGTTCCATGTTGTGTGACATTTATAACATACATATTTTTGTTCCATTTTATACATAACTTCATGCAATTAAAGAGTTAACCTGCTTATTAATTGAGTTAAGACACAGTTATGTATGTGCAAGCAAAGAACAAGTACTAAAACCTACTGCAAACATTTGGCGTATCAGAGCCCCCAACAACTTAAAGAAATTATTTATAACATTGTAGGTAAAATGATCACTATTTTAACTAGTCACCGGCGGCAGCTGCTGAGGTAGCTGTACCAATACGAAAAGGAATGTCCATTAAAATCATGGCTGTTGATACCTATACGAGTCAGAGTTTCGTTGAGGTATGATATGAAAGTCTTACGCATCAACGGTTTGGAAAAAACACATTTTCAACAAACAAAGGTGAAGTCAGAATAGCTCCCTGAGCCTTCCTTGCTGCTAAATAGCGAATCATGGTGAGCACAGGATGCAAAACATTGTTTTCAAATACTTTAATGTTCACTCCTTTACCATAGGGGTCCATTTTTGATGAATGCAGAAAAAAGGTAAAGGAAGACTTGTCCGGCACCACCACTATGTCA